AATATATATTAATTTTATTTAAGGAGCAGTAAACATTTTTCTGAAAATCCTTATAAAACAAACTTGGTGGAAAGAATTCAGAAGATCTTACTGAACTTGGGAGGTGGAATTCTCTCCTGAGGTCACTTAAGGAAGGGCTGAATATAAAGTGAACAACTACTTCAGAATCATTCTGCTGTTTTACTCCTTTATATCTTTTAATGTTTTTACTTCGCTTATTCTTCTGTTGCTATCAGTCTGTCTTATATCCTGAGTTTATGAAATAGAGAAAAATTTTAGGCTATAGCTGGGTTTGAGACTTACTCTGTTTGCCATTTCTTCTCTTTTTATTTTGAATTCAACTCTAATAAAGATTACCATCTACTGCTGTCTTGTTATTAGGTGACTCATTAGGGCAATGTCCCTTCTGCCTGTCTAGCAAAGGATTGAAAGCTGGACAGCTTTTGGCACTATGTCAGTCTTTTGTATAGGTTTTTGGCAAAACTCCTGCTCAAACGAAGTCCCGAAAGAATTTTAAGATAACTCTTGTATTCTGACCAGCATTATATATGTGAATATATACACCTGTGATCATACATTTATATGAGGTTTTATACGTACATATTTATAAACTTCTCAGAGTTAAGTAAAACTTTTTTTTTCTGTTCTGATTTCTACATAAAATGTAATTAGTCTCTGATTTTAAAAGACAGTGAATACAAAAATATACTTTTACTTCACTCTTCTTCATAGCCTTTTACATATGACTCTCCTGCTTTTGCTCATTCACAATATATTGTACAGTACTATAATAAAAACTTAATTTAACAGGCACAAGTTATAATAAAAGAATAAAAATCACAACAGGTAATGATTTTTATCAGTTGCCTAACCAGCCTAAGGTGTTCTTCTATTAGTGGTCAATAGCAAATGTTCAGAGGGAAAGTGTATAAACAGGGTATACATAAAATGGTACTTCCCATAGAAGCTGAGATTTTAGGTCCTCCCCAAGGAAAGGTCTTATTCAGAATATATGTTTTAGTAGCCACAAGTATTACTGTCAATTTATGAGATTTATTTACACAGTCTAAATGGACATGTGTCATTTGAGCTATTCTCTATTTCTCACATTTCACCTGTCTTTCTTGAGTACTCTGACGAATAAATTGTAAAGAGTCCCAAGAAAAATTTGCAGTATATAAAAAATACACACAACTTGTTCATGTGAAGGCAATGATTTCTGAGCAAATCTTAAGGATACTGTCAACTTGAAATGTAGCCAATTAAAACCTGTCATAAATCAAAGAAAAATTCCTGGTTTACTTTGTCATTTACAATGTTGGAATCTGATTTTACCACTTAAAAACAAAACAATTACCTCTTCTCAAAACTGTGGAAACAATGGAGGAAATTCTGTACACAAAACAAACACTATCTCCACAAAGCAGAGAAATATTTTAAACCTGTGCTTACACTAAAGTGGTGGCTACAATTTATATTTTGCTGAAAGCCAATTTTGCCTTATTTATCTTTGCTTTTTCATTGTCCTTTACCACAGATGTCAGGCACTAAAGGAGCTATCACTAGAACATGTTAGATGCAAATTTAAAAGTACACAATTATGTCAACTCTGAAGATATGAAGATTTCTTTAATTTTGAAAAACACCAAAATGGTCAACACTGATGTTTTTAGAATTCAGCATGTTTTAAGTCTCCTCTGAAATTAACCTAAATAAATTTTTATGCTTTAGTGTGCCTTGGAATTTTACCTCATTCTTCTTTCTTTGCAAATTCATTATTTAAGAACTGCTCTTTCAGACACATGATAGCCAATGCATCATTCTTTAAAAGCTCTGTGTATCAGCTGAGCCATTAACTCTGTAAGAGTTAGTGCTTTTTTATTCCATCTTATACTCTGACCTGTGCAATTGAATCAGCCTGATCTTTAGCTGATTTAACACTTATTTTATCCCTCCTTTCTTTACATTCGACATTAATCAGTAACTTAAAAGCCTCTGATAAATTACATTCTATGGATTATTGGACAAACAAACCTCCATATGTGTTTTCCAAAGATCAGCACAGATACTACCTGGTTTATCTAAAAAAAAGTATTGTGTCATTAACTGATCTTCATTTTGTTTCCCTGATTGTTTGGGTTTTGGGTTTTTTCATCTCTGTATATGTTTAGCCCTGCTTTATCCACCTGTAAATTTCACAAGGATGCACTTTTTCCCTTCTTCAGTTGTGCTTTCTCTATTTTGTAAATATTGTGAGCTTTTTTATTGTGTTACTAACCTGAAACAAGTGACTTACTTATATTCTGAAAGTTTCAAAAATAAAGGAAGATATAGATTACCGAGGGGACTTCTGTAAGTTATTCTGGGGAAATCCAGTAGTCCTCTTTTATTTATGCGTAACAAAATCCTTTAAATTATATTTCCAGGTATCTGACTATCCAGTTGTACTGTCTTTGGAGAACCACTGCAGCCCTCAGCAACAGGAAGTAATGGCAGACTATTTAGAAAGTATTCTAGGTGACAAACTTCTTACTTCAACAATTGGCGAAGCAAGCGTGAACCAGCTACCATCTCCTGAGGTAATAACTGTAAGACACAGGGAAAAAAACATTGGTTTTTTTTTTTAATCTTCTGAAACTGAATTTATAAAACTGCTCATCTGGTGTCTGAAATGGACTTCAAGAGGTAATAAAAAATAATCAGACCACACACACAAAAAAACAAAAAAAAAAAAAGGAAAAGAAAGTCACATGAAAAGATAAAGAAAAAAGGAAAGGTAAAACTTATTCCTTTGTATTGATGTATCAAAGTTTTTATTTAAAGGAAAAAGTGTTTTAGTACAATGTTGAAGCATGCATTTTTTAAAAGCCAACATACTAACGTGTTTGCAAAGCCTTAAGTCTTCTAGTTAATATCAAACCAACTTCTGGTGTTTTGTATGCATTAAAGGTTTAATTTTATTTCATATAGAAAAAAAATTAAGTAAAGTAGGTTGAAGTTTATTTCATGTGATAGCTGTAGTAATACACCTTACTTTCTTGAACCATACTTACTAACAGTGCATTAACTGCATATCAAAAACTGAGTAGCAACACTGAAATTATTCTTTTTTTTTTTAAGTAAATATTATTTATTAAGAATTAAGTTATACTGTGGTTCATCTACAGTAGTCCTATGTTGGAGACATGGTACCCTAAACACAGAAAAAAGCATCTGCCTTTAAAGAGGGTGGATTTATACACAGCGAATGAATTGCCAAAGACTGTAGAACTAAACGCTACTGAATCTGAACTTTGAATCTGACAGCTATGCAAACACCTGAGTAATTTATTTTCAGAGATTTCGAATTATTGAAATGTTGTGTTATAATGAACAGCTTCAAAGTTCCTGACCTGTAAAAGTCAACATTTTGAGGTTAAACTGAACAATCTTCTCTCTTTCTCTTATTTCTCCTCTCTGAAATGGGGCTTCCAGTGTTTCAGTTTTAAAAGAGGAAATAAAGTATAAATTCTTAAACAATATTATGCTTTGATCCAAAATTAAAAAATCTTCACTTTAAACATGATAGTGTATCTGGTTTGCTGTTAATTTATTTGATGTTCCTTCAATTGAAAACAATTCCTGAAATTTAAACATGTTATTGAAATGGAAACCTGAATCTACATTTTTTTTGTCAATATCAATGTTGATGAAACTATTTAATCAAGTTTGGTTACTTGCACTCTTTCTCAGTGTGTTTCTCCCTAAGGCAGTGTTTCTCAGCTGGTGGTTTGAGACCCCTGGGATATGAAGTCAGAAAAGGCAATTAGATGGGTGTTGAAAATTTTATTGTAAACTAAAACAAACAGATTCCTATTGTTCCAGTCTTTGCACATAATTTGCTTTCAAGGACAAAAGATTTTTAAAACTTGCAACACAAATGCATGCACGCATATAGAATAGTTATTTAGGCTTGTCACTGTTATCAGTGATATACCAGATATCTTTTATACTGTTTTTTTTTAAAAAGTAACCGAAAAAGGAGCAATGCAAATGAAAATGTGGGGAGGAAGCACTGTCATAAGGAAAGACAACACACAAAGACATATTTCTGTAAAGGATTTGTTACAGAAAAAACACTTTTGAAGTCATGTGTCCAAAGGCTGGCTAAAGTATTACCGTATTATTATATTTTTGTTATAATGTTGTGATGAATATATTTAACATGTCTTACTAAATTTCTCCCTAAGCCAATATATTTTTTTTTAGATTTTTGCATTATATTTTTTATATCACACTGTTCAATATCACTTTGCAACCTTGAAACTGTTCTGTACATTAGAAAAAACCCATAAACTGTATTAAACGTGATGGTTTGTTTTAAAGCTTCTCAAAGCATAGCTGCATTCAGTCTGATAGAAGTCTAAGGATCATATATCCTCCACAGAAAAAAATTGGTGTACTGCATCTGAATCATGGACTCACTGAATCATATACTTAAAAATATTACTTTCTATGAGATATGACCCTTACCATATGTTTACTGTGGTATATGAAATCCATACATTGTATTTCCATAGCTTAGAGTTTTCATAAGTTAGCATTGTACAATTTCTGTCTGCAAATGCATTGCTGGGTTCCATACTTACTCCTTAGTTAAATGTATGTTGTTCAGGTGAGATTCATTCTGCTGGACTTTAAATCTTTTAAAGTTACGTGAGATGTAGTCCGCATCTATGTAAGATGTTAGAGTTACCTAAAGAATATCACTGTCCTCAGCTTATTTACAGAAGTCTGATTTTAGTATATCGTTACGTTGAGAATGAACAAGGATTAGGATCATCTCCATTTCTCTTAGCTGCTCTGATCAAGCATGTAAGAAAAATCATTAGGATTTTATTTTGCAATGTAAATATGTATCTATGACTGAATTTGCAGAGTAGTAGTCTTGACTTTTGGCTAGCATCCTTTTGAAGAATCACTTTTGGTCCATGCTCAAAATGATTTTATTGGCATCACATTCTAAAGCTTGGGATACTGTGCATATCCAAGGGCTGGGTAAATTCATTATCATTTGAGTGAGCCAGATGCTGAACTTCATCTTAAGCCTGCTTTACTTAAGCAATGCAAATGTGATGTTACCGAACCATAAATAATGTATTTAAAATGTTCATGAGAAGGATGCTAGGTTAGTGTAAAAAAAATTGTTGTAACCGACATCATTTTTTGTTCCACTTTTTTCAAGATGGAACATTAGCAAGAATAGGGAAGAAACTATCACATCTGGTATGATTCTATCATAGCCATCTGGTAAAGCCAACCCAGAAAAAAAACTACAAAGCCATCCCAGGAAAAAAAATCTATCAGAAGTGTTAACACCAGTAACAGAGTAAAGATTTGTTCTTTAAACATAGCAGTTTTCTGATTTCTAATGTACGTGTAATAAAACATAGTAAGTTTCAGGATGATTAAAGTTCACTGCTCAGATACAAGATTGTTTCAACAGAGTGGTAAGTGTTGATTGATATAGCTCAGGTGCAGTAAATACACTTGCTCAGAGGTTTGTACAACCAATAGCCTGACGACTAATTTTGAATAAATAAATAAATAAATAAATAAATAACTATCCCTAATGCACTCAAGGAAACTGGTCTACCTGGATACATGAGTATTTTACTAGCAAAAAGCAGTATTTGTTTTAAAGAAATCATGCTGTCTAATTTATGTAGAGTTCTGTTCAACATGTTCTGTGGCCAACATACATGGCTTTCGCCTAGATTATTAGCTTTTTCCTAGGCATATTTTACATGTTATGCTTTTAAAGTCTGTTCTAAATATTAATTTAAAATTATGCTGTCTTCAGTGTTGCTTCTTTTTTTTGATAGTTTTTTTGTTAGACTTTTACACTCCTTTATATTAAAACAAAATTAGGTGATAAATTGCTTATATGCTAATATATTATCTTGATTGTAAATGAACATGCATATCACACTGAAGTAGCTCAGTATTAAGGTGAATATACTTCAAGTCACTTTACTATGTGTGTGTATACACAATTTAATTTAATTATTCTGAGTTACAAAATTAAGGTATTTGGATTAGAGTTATCGTGCATTACTTCCATTTCCCCTACAGTCTTGTTTACCTTCTTTTGTCATCTTTGTCTACCTTGAGTTCAGCTTCAGCTTCCACACTTCTGGATGAATCTTAGCAAGGAAGATGGGAGGGAAGTCTTTTGCTCTTAGTTGAAATTAATAATAAACACAGAGACATTTTTATAATATGCTTTCTTGGAGAACAGTCCAATCTAATAGTATCCCTAGAGACACAGCACAAAACTCTACTGCCACATATGTCCCACATGCCTATAAATGTAATGGGCATACTTCTGTCCCTTGAGTTCTCTGATTGTCTGTGTCACAACAAGTTAATTAACACTTAGATGTTCATGAGCTGTGCTATTGCCTTCTTTGACAGGTTTTTTTTTTTAACAACCTGCTAATAGGATTCCTCAAAGATTTAGCTCTGGACTAACTAGCCCTCCTCCCCTTTTCTCTCAAATTTCTTTGGCAAAGACTCTCAACATCCAGCTTCTCCCTGTCACACAAGACTGAAACATTATGTTTCTTGAGTTGGAAATCCTTCTCATCTGACAGCTGCTGTTATTCCTTGTTTTACCCTTCTTGTGAAGGGGTACATATAGCTTATGCAAGGCTTCCTTTTAATACCAACTTCTCAATATTCTTCAAGATTCAAATAGTGCCCTTGTCTGTACATGAAGAGGAATGCCACATATTCCCAAACAACTTCACAGAAACATTTGTCAGTTACAGGTTCTTGCTTAGATCTTGGAGATTTGGAGGTCTCCGTGGAAATTATTTTCTCCTCTGTTGTCTGATCAGTCCTCTGCTTCCTTTTCTAAGTAGGTTTTGAGCTACACCTTTGCTAGCTGAGATGACTGGAATGAGATGACTGTGTGTGTCTGGAACAAGGTTTAAAAGGCAGAGCAAATCCATTCTTAGGTGCTTCCTTGGACCACAGCTCGTGCGTGATGTCTCCTACCATTGTATGCCTGAGTGAAAATCACAAGGAGATCCAGAAAAGAAAATTGGATGGTCATGAATGTTATTGAGCTCTGTTTTTTTTCTTTCTGCTGTTTTTCAAAACCTTATTGCTCTGAAACACAAAACCCATAAAACTTCAGGAAAAGATTTTTTTTTTTTTAAATTCTTTGACTTCAGTTATATGTTCACTCTACAGCTGACTATACTAGTATTGTTAATTCCCTGGAATATTACTGTATTCTGTAGCATCTCAACAGACAATTCTTCCTTGATGTGTGGAGTAGAGGAAAGAGAAGTCTTTTGCACTATTTCTTTCTTTCACACAGCCCTTATCAAAACTGAGGCCACCCTTGAGCTTCACCAATCTCTTCTACTGTGTCTAGCTTCTTATCTCTTTCCCATGCACATATTTTGCCACCCAAGGCAACAGATTCACTACAATCCTTTCCTAACAGTCTTGGCCATGATGTTGCTTCTAAAGAGACTTCATGAAATTCCTTTAATAGTTGCTGAAATTTCAGGTTTTTGAGTCAGTT